AATCTGAAGTCTTGTCTTTCTGCATAAGTTGGTCTACTATCCGATAGAGAGTGGACCCAAAGGTTCACAAGGACACAATATAGTTTCAAAAGATTGTATAATGCGATCTTGATAGAACACTGGGAAATATAGACATCTCAGGTTTATTTTACTAAGCGTCAGAAAGATCGTCTTGTATTCTAAACTTCCCATGAACTATGGAGTCTCTAGTCTGTATCTGTACCGACCATCTGGAGGGTAGTGAGTTAAAATAATAATCATAGTTTATTACGATATAAAACACTTCCGGTTTCACTGTTTACACGTTACTCAATACCATTTTAAAGGTGCTAGCCTAGTAGAGAAAATGTTCATGCCAAGGGAGAATACTCAATAAAAATCGCAATCTTGGAACATTTAAAGGTGGAATACGATGAAGAATGGTCTATAGGGATAATCAGAGGACGTAGATGGAAAAAGGATATATGTAATACCTCAGTTGCTAACGAGCAGGTTATCTGGTACAGAAACTTTAATATAGTATACATGGTAGTGTTTCTTTAAAGTACTATTACGTGTATACCCAGGTCTATCTGGGACAGTGGCTTTAATGTACTGCACTAAGACGATAAGAGAGTAAATTATAAAGGTTGTTGAAATGAGCCGGTGGTAGGGAAATATTTAGACAACTTTTTGTCTACTGATATCATTCAACCACACCCGTCTACTTTATCTTAAAGGGACAGGTGCGTCTCTTTGAGGGTAGATTTGGATCTTGAACATAATTATGTAGATAGTACTTGAAATGTACAGATGTCGCACAATTCCTTATAAAAAGATTGCGGCTCTTAGCGACTGTTACATAATAAAACCTGTAGTTTTTGTGGAATTGCAAGAAGTACAGAAGTCAGGCTGCAAATTGGTACAAATCAAAACCTCTTTCAAATCTCTTTAAATAGAGAACCACGCCACTCAAAATCTCATTGAATAACGTCGAACACATCACATCTTCTTCATTTGTGTACATTATAGAATTCGAAATACTTATTTTACACTACTCCAGATTATTGTTTAAAAAAACTATCGTTGGTGGGCGAGGTTGTTCAGTCCATTCTGTGTTGGACAACAGTATCAAGTACCGAGCGTACTGTTACCTCTTGAGGGTTAATTAATCAGGGATGTCGACAACATGAAAATGTATTGTCCTAAAGCATATGGTTTTGAAGTCAGCAACTTATATCTCATCTTGGCTTCTATAATAGTATCTTCTATAACACCTAACACTCATAATGTCGTATCTGTTGAAAATATGCCTTCTGAACACGGAAAAAGATGAGACTAGCCGGGTAACCCTGCCAAGTTTACTGACCTGCTACACATGTGGGCTGGGGACGATACTTCCGACAGGAGACATGGAGTTCCAATTTTCCGGAAATGGGGATTTACCTTTAAAATTGGAAAAGCCGAGTCTACCCTAATCGCAATATTCAACCTAACTACAGTGACATACACTTAGTGCATAACACTGAAGATCAAAGGTTTAATCAACTTCTTGACTTTCATTCCCTTGACATGGAAACTTGAAAAGAATGCCTGTTGGCTTACGGCTGATACGGGTCAGACATAGGGTCAAATAAGGTCATGATTTAGTACAATTGACTGACCGATTGACCTCATGTACCTGCTAGTGCCTGTCAATTAAGTTATAACGTTACAATGCATGTTCATAATATTACACGTGTACGGTGAAACATGACCCAATTTCACTGTCAATCTTATAAAGCTTATGTACCATGTCCGGTACGGTACGGGGTTTATTCAACATTGCCGAAATCGTTCGTTAGATGTATTCCCCGCCTTCCTATATTAGAAAATTTCATTGAAATCCTGACTACACCACTACAAAATACGGGCCCGGACACGACCATTACCCTATGTCAGGTATAATCTGCTGATATTAAAGTTCTATACCTAGTGGGCTAATAACATCTTTGTTTATTTTCCAGGAAGCCAGGATGAGAAAGTGGATTGTAGCCTTGTTATTAGGACTGGTTTTTACAGCCGTCTACGTCCGGGTAAGTTAACTAGGTTTATATAGTTTATATGCACGTGTATCAAACCAGCGTTATATAGAAGCGTGGATAATTTGGCTATGGGTTTGTCTGAATGATTTTGCATTGTTTTTCGAGAGTTTTCGACCATCCTTTTTACAAAGTAGATCTGCAAATCTATGTCATTCAGAACGAAATTGGCCGCACGCCCTCCTGGCAAATCACGCCAATTGTGTTGAGCTGGTTACTCATTAAGAAAGGAAAGAAATGTTGGGAATAAGGTAACTTTCTGTAGGATTGGTCGCTTTTTCTGGTGTATGACAAATTTGAAGAAAATGTGCAAACAACTTTTACATGTAATTCATTGCAAAAATATGTGCGTGGGTCTCCACTGAGCAAAGTGACATCGGATGTTCTTGTGGAATAGCATTCATGCCTGAAATTTAAAGTAGATTTAAAAAAATCCTCACTTTGACATAAATTGGAATTATAGCAGGAATGTTATCTTAAGTTTAATGTTGTTTTGACATTTTACTGCCATTACTTTCTCGTTAATGTATCACAAGTCATCATGACCAGTTTCCGCATTCTAATATCCTGAAACTTTTCTTCAAATCAAAGTTTCTTCGTTCCAAAGAATGTCAATAGTTCCACAATGGGGAATACTGGCGTCCGAAAGTAAAATGGCAAGAAACAACCAATCCGTACAAGGATGACAACTTGGCATTAAGTGAAAGCGTCGAGCAGGAGCCACGGAATTGTCAAAGGAGGGGGAGGGGGAGATAACAACCTCTTAACGGCTTTAGACTTTCATATTTGAAAAAAGCACAATAATGACCCGCTGAAAACTAAAAGATAAACTAATAGTGGACTACAGCCATCTATACGCCCACCACGGCGGATGGTAAATATTCAAGATTTTGGAGCAAGGGCAATAACTCTGCTCAAATTCGAACTTGATCTTCGTTTTATGAATATGTATACACATACCGAATTTCATTTGATTCCATCAAAAAATCTAGTTTGTAGAGCGCTTACAATCAAATGTTGACGAACGGACGGACGGACGGACGGACAGGGGTGCCGACAATATACGTCCACATAGAGAGATGTGGGCGTATAAAAACATAAAAGTATATAGTTTCGACAGATAACAACATGTTTTATACTTCTTTAACCTATAAATTTAATTTCGAGTTTTTACAGATTTTTTATTGTTTTTCTTGGCAAGGTTTCTTTCTGATTAGGTAATCAAAAACACTCCTGGCTTGTTTTAAAATCTTGCAGATAATTTCTCTGTATCATTGCATGTTAAAGGGATTGTAACTAAGGTTTATAAATTTTATATATTCATTAGAGACACTGATAGCTACGATTTATACCATTACAAGTATCAGTCAGATGTCTGCGGTTCCTGCAATTCCATTGAAACTTACAGTTTTATTACGTCACTATCGCAAATTCCCCTTTACAAACCCTTTAATGTAGGGGGTCGGTATTCTACGTATTCTCCAATCTTAATTTTTGAATATGCTGTCTGAAATAATAATTCTCCTGCATTCATCCTGGGTCTCGGATGAACTGCTACTGCTACCTCCCCACCCCCTGTACAAGATTAGTCGACATTTGACACAAAATAACTAGCTACACAGTATAGGTATACTCTGTACAAGTACATATCTAACAACTCGGTGACTAAACTGCACCGGTAGTATTTGGAATAGTTGACATATTTAGAACATATTGTAACCTCTCAGCTTGTGTATATTTGACAGAGTCTAGGTATGGTAGTCATTCTAGAGTTGTTTATTTCACCAGGTACGTTTTCTAGGTCTGAATAAATAAATAGTGTAGGTTATTGTGACATACTGGGTACTGAACCAGTCAGCTGTTGCTGCCAGGACACCTGTCGAAAACGGTCAGCATTCTATCTAGCATCATTATCCTTTAAGGCGATATGAGTTAGATGCAAAAATCGAAAATTTAGATGATTATCAAGATGACTCCATTATGAATATGGAGGAGAAGAGACGGGGACAGTAAAATCGCATCATGTCATCATTCTGTGTGGATCTTTACTTTCTATTCGTTTCTATTTTCCAGTATTATCACTTACCACTCACTGCACTAGTATTCCAGTCATTTCAAACTACTTACTGCCTGCATTATAATTCAATTTACCATTTAATGGCCCTTTTGTTCCGTCGTAGGTCTTAAGTGAAATGAGTCCGTGGGATTAATTAAGTGTTTTACGTTTAATTATTTTCAGGCTGATGAAGATGAAGATGACGATGAAGAAGTAGAAGAAGAAGAGATAGATGTGGCTGCTGTAGAGGCTGGTAAAACCACACTCGTTAGTAAGTAACTTCATTACTAGGTCCTGTCCGAACACCTGGTAGTATTTTAATGCAGAAATGGCGTATACTGTACGCTGCTAATTATAAAAGTTGCATTTGGTGATTTTTGTAAGGGTTTCGAAGGTATTGGATAAGTGTCACAGTTTGGTAAATCATTTATGCTGAATTAGAAGTAGTGACCAGCTGTTTCTGAGAAGAGCTTCACTGGCCAGCAACTGAACTTCTTATTCCGTTTTCAATATGTATAGCAACTACATTCCTCAGATGGCGCTCACAAAAACCTTGTCCACAAACCAACATTTTGATATTTATCCGTAAACATACATAGGTTTATTGTATGCTATTTTCAAATTAGAAGCATGGTTTCATTCATCCTTATGCTGATCGGAGACTGTCCACATTAAAGATCACTCGAGAGTTGAAAATCGAAAAAGAATAGGCTATAATGCCATGCTATAATGTCCTGGCAAAATTGCTCTCAAAGCTCTCAAACTCATTGCACACTACATGTCGTTGTCTGTCTTCATCAACCAATTAGGTGCAGAGGAGTCGACCATAAAACTCCTTACAATTGTCCACCAGCACACCATTCCACAACTCCAACATCCTATTTATTACAGATCCATGTGAGAAGAAACGATGTCGACGTGGTGAACAGTGTATAGTAGATGAGAAACGGCAGCCATCTTGTGTCTGCTACCAAAACTGTGAAGAGGAGACAGACGAACGATACTGGGTAAATAACCACTTCGATGCAGTTAGAACACAGCACCAAATATACATGTATTATCAGGAGAAGCCTACTAATCCTGATCAAATGTAATCTTCCGAGCAAAGTTCGTCAGCATCCAAACCTTTGTCACCTGATCTTGTAATTATCCCTTTTATCATTTCTTACAGGTCTGCAGCACTAAGAACATCACATATAAAAGTGATTGTCTATTAGACAGAGAACATTGTCTCTGCAGGAGAAAAGATGCCGCATGTAAAAATCTTGCCGAGAAAAAAGTTCATCTGGACTATTATGGTGGATGTAGAGGTGAGTGGAATATTTGTTTGATTCGTTGAGTATTTTTGTGTTTCGTGTGCAGCATAGTTTGGTCACCGACTCTTTCCTATGGATCACTTACTGATGCTTTTAAATTTGACCGAAACATCTGCCTCTTTTGACTCTGATAGATATTTTAACAGTTATCGGAGGCAAGTCTTTCAAAATATCCACCAGAGACTGGAATAGAGGAAGTGATTCGGTTTACTACTAAGTCATCGGGTTTGCTCTCGTCATCACGGAAACACTTCCGATTTTCTCACATTGGTTAAGATATCCAAGATTCCATTTAGATGATACTTGTGTAGCGTGATGTGGAGAAATCTTATCGATTCTGAAAAAACCTATTCGCAGATCGTTATTATGGTTTGGGAATGGTGTACACATATCTTAAGAATCTTTGTTGGCAACATGATCTTCAAAGACCGTGGATTGGAAAGTAGAAAAAATGGTGATTAGAACGTCTTTAGCTATGATAACGGGAAAATCAGTTGGCTTGGTAGAGGTTATGGCTTCGGACCTTTGAAAGCTGTAAGTTTACTACCCATATATACAAATTTCCGCTAATGTTGACATTTTCACAGTTATATTAAGTTTTGTTTTTTCACTTTGCTTTTTCCAGATTTGACAGCCTGTCCTAAAGACGAATTTCAGGAATTTCCAAACCGACTCCGAGAATGGTTGTTTATTGTCATGAAACAATTGGTAAGGAAATCTAGATAATTCCATAGTTTACCGTCTGCAGTTAAGTAGATTCAGTAGCAAGACATTGGCAAGGTGGACCAAGCTTCCTTAAGGCCAGGACACCGTTCCAACTTCATTATAGAGAGTTAACTATCATTTCAAAACTATAGTTGTCCTGACGAGTATTTTGTTATCATAAATACATGTCGGCAGCGTGTGATGGAGTCTTGTCTATGGAGTACTCTCTGACTCTGACTTCTCAATAGCTGTCTTGATAAGGAAAGTATATCCTATCACATATCGGCAGCAAGGGTTGAGCTCTTTATAAATAGTTCATACTTCAAACTGATATAATGTATAAAACCTGGATAATGTTCTGTTGTTTCAGGCCGCCAGAGAAGAACTTCATGAATACCTAGATCTGTTAGAATCGGCTAAATCTGATGCCAACCACACTGATGCCTTGGTCTGGAAATTCTGTGATTTAGATCAAAACCCACAAGACAGGTAGGAACCATCCTCGAAATCTGAACTTTGATTGGACGAAAATAAGGTCTAATTAAAGTTTCGATTTGAATATTCACGTTAAGCTTGAGAAATCGTTTTTAAAAAAAAAGCTTATAGTCATACTGACAAGAAACAAATGAATTGTTGAATTAAATCCCAGATTTCGGTATATATCCATGTAATATTTAAGATTCCCTTTCTAGTATCTCTATAAGGGACCGCATGTCTAACATTTTAGGAGGCTAGGTTCTTACTAACCTTTCCGAAACACCCGATGACAACTTGCAATTTGTATTATCAAAACAGTATCTCCATTCCCCTAATTATTATCTATATTACCTTGGCATTTTCACCCTCATTTCAGACGTGTTAGTCGACGAGAACTTCAGCACACTATTCAATCTTTAAAAGCCATGGAACACTGTCTCGTGCCCTTCCTTAACGACTGTGATGCTAATAATGACAGAAGGATCACCCTCAGAGAGTGGGGTGGCTGTCTTAATGCCGACCTCAGTAAGTAAACCTTTAATATCATCTAGGTCATTCACTTAATGCACGTGCAATTTCATAAATATTTGAAAAGTTGAAATAATCTCTGAGTGAACGTATTCTCTATCGACACAATTGGTCTCAGGAATGGTATGAAGAAAATATGCCATTTGCCATTGTGCGCGTGCATAGTCTTTGAGGCTTACACGTTATAAAGTGATGCAATTCTTTTTTATTTTTCAGGAAAGCTGCAGTTGAAGTGTAAAGAAATCCATCATGCACGTACGAAAAGCCGAAGTTAAACCAGTCTTAGAAACAAATAGTTCGATATTAAGGTCACGTGGTCTCAAGTGACTTATCACCGCAATATGTAAAATAGTCAGAAAAAGTCCGAAACAACCCGATTTGTCTCTTTAGCCCACAATACACGAATAAAAACACACAATGTGAATGGTTGCTAGAGAGAAAAGTTACTTGTTTCGGATTCTAGAAAATATATTATTTAAAAAAATCACTTAGATAGATAAAATTATGCAATAAAACAGTATTTCTTAATGCGATATAAAAGTTTGGATTACGGTTATATAATATATTTATATTTATATCATTGAACGTTCTCAGAGTTTCTCAAATTGGCTTTTCACTATTGGTTATGCCAAGAAAACCATGTGTACAAACAGCCTTCTGTTAATAATCTTAGGATGAGCCTGCAGTGCCGCCGTCTTGCGGAATTATTTTAATTGAAGGGGAAATTTCAAGCTTTCTGATAAGTCAACATAGTTGTATGAATCGTGTATCTTATATACTTTGAAGAATCTAGAATAAGTATATGTTTGCAAACCTAGGGGAATACAAAAAGAACAACGAAACAGCTTTTAAGTTGTTGTTAGTGTAATATTTGGATTGTTCCCCCTGCTTTTACTCTCGTGACCAAATTAGACGTCATCGCTTCACTCAACGTAATTTTCAATGTCTGTGAAACTTTCAAAATATGTTAAGTATTGTATAAGCATATGTGCACGTCTTTTATATTTTCATGATAGCTTTGATATGAATGTGCCAAATATATTTTTAATATTTCTCTTATACCTTTAATATACATAGTTTAGCTTTTGTAATCCACAAAACTTTTAAAAGGCTTATTAATTTATTCAAAGACACGCCCTCATGTGTTCAACACAAGTCCTTGCGGGAGGATATTTATTTCTATGGATCCCTATCATTTCAACTGCATATTTTATTGTTATACGCCGGTTCGACAAGATTACATTTTACTTACCAACAGTTTCGGTTTCAGTCTTATCTTTAATTGGTGCTAATTTACTATTATATTAGCAAGACGATTAGATGAAATAGATTTTATATTTTGTAATTTGCTTTAATCAATAAACTGAAAAAAATAAATTGCTAAGTCTAGTTCTTGAACAAATAGGTTTTCACCAAGTAAAAAGCATCTTTATTGTTGGTCAATATCTGATTTTTCAACCCCATTTCCCCCTGTCAATGATGTAGGTAACAGGGGCTAACATAAAAAAAAAGAATTCGGATGTCACATAAACTGAGGCCCCGTGTGCTACATCCCTTGACAGTGTTAAATCTAAAAAGAATATGATTATGCCGCTGGCCTGGCAAAATTTCCCTCATTGCACTCTGCATGGTGTTGTCCGTCGTCATTAGCTCATAGGGTGCGGAAAAACAGGACGTAAATGTTATTTCATTTGTCTTGGGGTCTGTCAATTCAGATCAAAGCTTCGATTCAGTGAGCTAAAGAATCATTTGTTGTCTGAAATAATCCAGCATTATCTCCCCTCTACACTCTTTAATTTGTATGAGCAGTAAAGGTCTACGTTTAGGAATCCAAGGTAAACAATGGCCGATCCTGTGAAAGAAAATGGATAAATTTGAACAATAAAAGGATGTGAACTGGGGTAAATTTCAAAATGAACACAAAAATAAAAGCCCGGGTTCTGGAGTCTGTTGGTAGACCTGTTGGAGTTCTTCCACTTGATCCCAGACCAAAACAAAACAGACGACTGCCAAGGTGCGTTTTGTCGTTTTTATCATATGCCTATTCCTGTTTGTTGTTAATGTTTATTTTTCTGAATCCCTCGATCTCTGTTTACTGTTTGGTTATTTTTCACCAAATAGTTTTGACGAAATCATAAGTTTTTCAATTACAAAACATTCAGTTTTACCATAAGTAAAGACTAAAATGACATGGCCTATTCTCTATAAATCTTTCTATCTAAATCCCCTGTAGTTGTGGCTTTATCAGTTTATATTATGTACAGCAAAATTTTATCAGAGATATACTTTGGTATTCTAAATGTTAATTATGAAATTGTGGCTAAAAACCACGAAGTAGCGCCAGTATACACTATGTTAGATCTACTGACAAGGTGAAACAATTACATGTACATTGGCAAAAACGGTCCATAAGCTTATCTTATATTGTGACTGGAGGGGTTACAAATTCAGGCTTTGTCAAAATACTGGTCAATCTATTTATAGCAAGGAGTCAAGGATGCACAAAACAGAAGTTGATTGATAATTATGAAGAAATGTTGACTTATTTTTAGCAAACATTAAATCAAATAGTTACTTTTCTTTTACAGGAAAGCCATTAATGAACATAACTCCACCACAAATATTAAACTTGGAGAGTTGAAAACTGGAAGATTTACTAGATCAAACAGTGTTGGGAACTCAGACAGTGTCAAGGTCACTTCTGCTACCTCCACAAGGTCAGCAGGGTCAACAAGGTCAAGGTCAGGCAGTTCCAGTCGGACGAAACCGAAAGTTACTCCACCGAAGGCTAGTTCTAGTCGAAACCCCCGTACAGGAAGTACCGTTAGTGATGTGTCGTATTACGGATCTGATTCGGATAACGAAGGTCAAGATGTCAAGTTTTTTAATATGCCAAGTGCAAGGTCACGACCTTCAACATCATTGGACGGCCCTGTTGAGAAAAGGTTATTAAATCCTGATTACATTGTAAGTATCATGACTTCTTTTATTTTCCAAAATTCTTAAATCAACTGCAGCAATAGCACACAATAGCTAATCGCTTGGCAGACGTCAATCCAACTCACTACCAACTGAGCTATTTCACTGCCTATGTGGAGTAAGTAATAACTATCAAACAGTGAAACTGTAAATGAGAAATAAAGAAATATTAAAACAGAACCTGAAACATGTTGTTACAGTGTTATTTGTATATTTTCCAGTTATCCTGTTCACAAGAAAGTGATTATAATAATGTTTATGAAATAATTCAACATGGTGAAGAGATAACTGATATTTCAAACTTACAACAGGTAGTGCAATACCTTTTTCTTCTCTAATAGTCAAGTCAATTTCTCTATAACATGTGAAGAAGATGTATAAATCATGGAGCCAATTTCAATAATTTTAACTAAGATTATATCGAGAGATTGTAAAGGGATTTTAAAGAGGCTTTCTAAACTTTGTATGTGTATCAGAGACACTAATAGAATCAATTTACATTCTAATTTTCATTCAGACTTCTGTGGTTCCTGCAAATCCACTAAAACTTGCAATTTGTACCGTTAATGGTAGGTAACTCTATATTTTAGTTTAAGAAAGTGAAGATATTAGATTTATCGTGTAATTTTATAGAAAAAATTCAGAATCTGAATGATAACCTGGTAAGAATATTGTCTGTAGCTCTTTTTAATCTCTACATTTATAACTTTCAATCCAATGAGAAACATTCTGATGTGTTCATCAAGCCATGTCATTCTACTCTTCTCTAAGGACTAAATGTGCTGTCAATATCTTATTCCAGTTTGAGCAATTATGGAGTATATGATAACCAAGAGATGGTATTTGTTTATTATTTTGTTATGTAACATTTTATTTAAATATATTATATATTTGTAGGATATACGAGAATTAAAACTATATGATAATAGAATTAAAGTTATAGAGAATTTAGATCAGTAAGAAAAATCTCATTTTGATTATTCAAAAATGTTTCTTTAGTCTTGATTATATTGGATGTGGCTGTATTTATCAACAATGCATGTTTTGCTTGGTTCCATTTAGACTGTAATCTACAATTTTATCTTTGCACCATTAGAAGTTATTTAGTAAAGTAATTGTTAATGTTGTTGTAAATGTATTTCTGGGGGCCCACAAAATTGTCTTTTTATTTTCATGTTTGTTAGACATTGTAAATTACTGTGTTATTTGATGACCATAATCTTTATAAATTTCAGTTTAAAAGAGTTGAGTTGTTTGCAGTTACAACATAATAAAATACGAGCCATTGGTAAGCTCATTCACTCGACATTACTGTTCTCTTATAGTTTCAGATTTTGATACAATCATGCTTATCTCCATTGATGAAGGTTATTGCATTAACATGATTTGTCTTGACTTTGCATCACTTCAATTTCTCGCTGTAAATGTGAATTATATCTTCATTCCGTGTGTTTTTTCTGCAGACTGATTACATTCACTATGTTTTCATTGTAATTTTTGAATGTAATATTACAGGTAAAGGTTTGAGTCAGTTGAAGAAAATAAAAACGTTAAGATTAGACAGTAATTTATTGTTAAAGTTAGAAACGTCAGATTTTATATCCTGTGTTCAGCTTACCTCCCTTGATCTGAGTTTTAATATGCTAGATAACCTTAGTGTAAGTAACAGTTGATTTGGGGGAAAAGAGTATAACGTCTGTTTGGTTCAATCTTTTGGTGAGGGTTATTCATTAAGAACAGTGGGCATTACGTGCTTTGTGTTAATATTTAAGAGGGAATTCGGCATCATCAAGTCAGCATCCCAATTAGACAGTATTTAGGTTTGTCAACTCAGCATCCCTTTCAGAGAATCAACATAGCTAATAATGTTTATTTGGTATTTAGATTTGTCAACATGGCATCACTTTCCGAGAGTCAACATAGCTATATGTATTTTTTATTTTAAAGATATACATCATGAATATGATTGGGGAACAGGCTTTGCCTATATTACACCTCTCCATATTTGAGTTGGTCATCCTGCATCCCTAGAACACTGTCCACATTTCCATTATTGTTGATCGAGTAGCCTAATTATATTTCATCTATTGTATTTATACAGGCATTAAGTTATTTACCTAATTTAGAAGAACTGAGTGCTAGTGGAAACAGATTACGGAAAGTCAATGAACTTTCTCGTTGTAAAGGATTGGTGGAATTAGATCTATCGAACAATAGATTAACAGATTTATCTGGCTTTACTAATCTTACACATCTACAGGTCTGTGCTCGTTTATATTTTGGATAGATATCCATTGATAAACTGTAAAGCTGAATAGAGCTGGGATGATACAAGGCTGTGAACTATCACGATACATTCTTGTATCTTTGTGACGAGTCAGATTGGCAATACAAATTCTGTGGATTACACTTTTGAATGTTTACCTCAACCCTTCAACTTAAAAAAAAATATACCATATCTCATGGCTCTTGCCATGGATTGTAAAATTTTGACATTATTGGCTAAAAGGAACTCTATTAAAACATGACTGGCAAATATAGTCAAATCAGTAACCCTTATTCTAATTTCTGTTTCAGATTCTAAGATTGAGCAACAATCAAATAACAACATTAAACATGTCTGGTAAATTAAAGTACGTACCATGCAGAATGATTTTAAACTCTATTAAGTGGAAGCGTGCCTGAAGACTAGTAACCTTCAACCAGAGGTGGAAGTGGAAGATTTTGTGCATAAGGTTCACGGAAACTGGCTGGATGTTCTGGACACATCTAGATATACGTAGGTCATGTAGGTCAAAGGTCATGAAGTATAAAACAATCTGTATTTATGTTTAATTATTTTCAGATCATTAGAAGAGTTGGATGTGTCAGCTAATAAAATTAAAGAGTTATCTCCCCTCCTAACAGCCGTCCCGAACTTACAGATTTTAAATATAAGTGATAATAATATATCTATTTGGGATCAAGTGGTAAGTGATGTGTTATTGAGGACACTACCAATATTAAGCTTTAGAAACAACAATGTTTACAATGAAGTTTAGTCATTGCCAGGTATATTCCCTATCAAACATAAAATATCAAATATAAAGACAAAATTAACAGCAAGTGTTTACATTATGATATCTTTACTTTTCACAATACTGTAACACTTTCAGTTTATCAAGATATTCTCACTATTATCATATTTTCAGCTATCTCTATCTAAACTAGGAGATTTAGTAGAGTTATTTATATCAGGCAATCCGTTTAGTGAAGAGAATGGAGAGAAACCTGGCTATTTTACTGAATTACAGTCTGTTATACCACAGTTAGAAATCTTAGATGGGGTAAATACTCTTGTTCTACCCTCTAGCCTTTCAGTGTCCTTTTTGATGCTCCTGGTTCATGTAATTCCAGAAAAACCAAAATACATGGTTTTATGACATTTGGATCCCTGTGGCAATTATGAAGTTAAAAGTGTCCACTAAAATTTCTGATGGTTTATGGAAAATCAGGAAATTATTAAAATGTCTTTTATGACAATTACAAAACATTGATGAGTTTAGATTAGGGTAATTGTAATGTTATGTTTGTTTTAGGCTCTTGTAAAGAAATTAATAGGTAAAGCTACAGCACCTTTAATGAGACCAATGTCTGCTTCTACAGGTAATTATACTGAAATATAGCCGAGTTTTACTTCCTATTGCTCTGGTGGACTGTTTATTTTTTTGGATTTGAAATGGAGTATTGCTTTGTACTTTTCTGAACCTTATTGGTATAATGATTTTTGAGGAATAGGGTCCTGGTATCTGGTAATTCATTGTGTTTTGTTGTAGTTGTAAGTGTAAGACAGATGGATAATCAACTTAAAGCTGTGAATCAAGAATTAGCAGAATTACAAACCAGTATTTCAAAAAGGTAACGCTGGATATGTCAATAGAAACCAGATACCCTCTTTATATTCTTTACTTAATATGTATAGTTGAAATAGTTAAAATATTGTTTAAACCACCAGGAAGTAGTTTGTTTGGTAATGATGCCAAGGAATGGAACCTACCCACATACTTTATATAAAGACATTAATTTAATTTGAATTTTGTTTTTGGCATCTTTTAACATTGATGCATAATTAATCTCTTTTATCTTTTGCAGATTTGAGTCTTTGCGATCCACATGTTCTAGTTTACCAGCTGAAGCCCCTCCCTCCAGTGCCCGAAGTATACCTGTCCCTTCCCCTAGTGAGGAACCTGAATTCCGCCCCTGCAGTAGTAGGTGAGTAGAATAGAAAACCAGAAAATAATTTGAACTCTACTACAAAGAAATGTTGTTGAAAATATTTAGTGCGTGTAGATTTACAGCGCGACCCTTTGAAAATTGTTCGACCCTTTCTTTTGCCCGTTCAACAGGCTATAAGTATAGACAGAATTTTTTTAATTTTGATGACTAGACCCTATTTATGAAAATAAGGGTGATCTCTGTCAATTTTGCTGATGATTTAAAATCTTTAAAACCAAAGATGTGCTGGATTCTGTCAACCATTTTCTTTATATTTTTCAGTCGATCCAGGATCATGATGGCTCAACAATATGCAGCTTCACAAAATTTTACTTGAATGATGGTTAGATATACATACAAATCCTGCTGAACGGGCTAGTTTTAAACTAGTTATACCACAGTTAAGCATGCCCACTTGTTTATACAAAGAAAAAAATCAAAGGAAATTCTTGATATCATGTAATAGACTATTTTTAGTATAATACAACTCAAGATGTTATAATATATTTATGACAGTTATAATATATTTGAGTGATGATATAGCATGTATTTTAATGGTAATAACTGTTAAAGAGGTTGTAAAGAGGTTTTCTAAACTTTTAAAGTGTATCAGGGACACTGATAGTATTGATTTGCACAATGCCATTTTCAATCAGACGTCTGTGGTTCCTGCAATTCCACTAAAACTAAGTGTTTGATGACATCACTATGCTTTATAGGATCAAATACGTCTGATTAAAAATTTAAATGGTGCAAATTGATGCTAACAGTTTTCCATATACACATACAAAATTAAGAAAACCTGTTTACACAATCTCTTTAATTGGCATATTTATTGAATGTATATTTATTAATTGTTATCTATTTCAATGTCAATATTTTAACATTGTACACAGTGTGTGCCTTACACAATACTTACAATATACTATTGTATCTTTTCTTATTTTGATCCTCCCCGGAAAACAATCTTTGAAAGGTCTGTGCTGTTGTTTTGGCTGTATTTGCTTGACATGTCTGACATTTTGTATAAAAAGGAGTAAATTTGACAGATTAATCCATATTTTTACAATGAATATTGGTAAAGAATCACATTTACAAAATAAAAAGACTATGCTCTGTACAACAAAAAGTTTTCAGTTCTTTTTCTATTTATAAAAAACAACTATAAACACCAAACTGTATTCCTGAAAAGATCTTAGTGCTAGGATGTCCTAAGGTATTAACTTCTAACACTAAGAATGTTTTGAGAATACGCAGATAGGTTCCTTTTATCCTTCCTCCATCTTGGATTTATTTTCTTTCTTCCTCTTTTTCTTATCTGTAACAAACATGAACAAAACATAAATACATTTCTCATTAAAGGGATTGTAAAGAGATTTTCTAATCTTTGTAAGAGTATAGTACACTAATAGATTCTGTTTGCACCTATCTGATTTATCGTTTGACAACTAGGGATCCTGTATTTCTAGAAAAACTGGACCAAATACGACACCTCTATCGCTAAAATTCCAATGGCATTTGTGATAACTGAACAGGTAGCTTGGCGTGTTTGGCTCAGGACTCGAGAAATCATACGCTGCCTTTTATATTGCCATTGTAGTATAAGTAATAATAGGTAGAAATACAAAAATTGTTTTGGAAGAGCGAACTCAGTTATTACTAACCTTCAGATTTCTTTTTCTTTATATCCGTGTCCTCCTGGTTTTTATTTGCTAAATATTTGGCTTGTTTTTCCTGCTTCTTTCTCTTCTTCCTTTCATAATTCTTTTCTAAAATCACGAAAAAAGACAAATTAGCTTTGTCAACATAACTGGAATGAAATTGCCAAATCAGCATACTCCCCTTTCAGTTTCATTCTTCTAAACAACTGATACCACTTTCCTTTTCTAAGATTAATATATGAAATGTTCTATTGCTGCTACTAACGATGTGTTGCTTTTTCCAAGCATGGGAGTCAGTCCTTCTACTGTATCAATCACAGGGGAAACCGGTTTTTAAAAATCCAAAGGTTTTGATGATGATTTGATCCATGTTGGGATGTTGGAATAGCAAGACCTTCAGGTAAGCGAGCAAGCCTGTAACTCAGTGAGCCACCATAGCTTTCACAACTCCATTGAAACTATCTCTACATATGCCAATACCAATACCAATGTCCAGAACTTGACGTCAGCAAGAAAGTGAGCTGAAACAAATACATGAACCGTGAGCCACCAGAAATAACAATTGACTTACTTCTCTTTAAAGCATAACAAACATAAACTTTTCTACCATCAATATCTACACCATTATGTTCTTTCATTCCTACTTCAGCCTCCTCTATACTGTTATAACTTACTACAGCTAATCTAAAAAAATTAATCTTACACTGTACAAGGTATTACAATAAATATCACACTCGGAATATATAAGACAAAGATATTACTAGAAAAATATTTCAAAAAGTACAAAATACACAGAATTTATGATCCACACAAATTATGACCCTGAGAAAGAGAGTAAAATCATCTACTAACATAAGTTTCCTTTGAGACAAAAACACAAATACAGAGACTTACCCTCTAGGACGTTGAGAATCTTGATAAAATAATATCTTAACTGACGTACTGCCGTTAAATACCTCCTTTATTTTATCTTCTCGTGTATCAAATGATAGATTTCTTACTAGTAACTGATTATTAGGTTCACCAGCTACCATCAACTCATCTAAATATAACATGGTCCAGATATTAAGGAGTGAAAATAAAATAATGATTGACTACCTGATTTTCTGCAGTATTTTGGGCAAAATGAAGACGCTGTGAAATATCAAATGAGCTGAATTTGTACTTTGTATTTTAAATCCTCCTTACTTTGACTAGGTAATCTGCTGATTCTTTCAAGTTTTATTTTGTTACCATGGAGACGTTTATTATTGGCTTTTAAAGCTTTTCCTACTTCTTCTTTTTTCTCCAACACCAAATACATTATTCTACAAACAAAACATAAAGTGGTCAATATCATAAGGCAAGAATACACAAGCAGTTGTTTAAAAGTCTCCACACAAAACAAAGATAATTCCATTGCCAATTAATTACTTAAAGCCAAATTCAGTTTGTATATTACTGAATACAGGCAATAAGATGAAACTGACTATATAGATGCCGAATTTAGGGAAAAAATTCAAAAATTGCCATACAATTAGGTTGATAACTAGAGATGATGTATGTTATATTATACTAAAATATTGTTATTGATCACTAATACTGAAATAATTCAGCTCTCTTAGCCAATTAATTTGCTTTTTTCTTCAATCATAGTTAAAATTTTGTTAAATTCCTGGACAAATAAGTAAGGGCAGGAGGGTAATGTGATAAGTATATAATATATAAGTTTGATTATAAGATTGCATGATATATCTTTCAATAAAACCTACTTTTGAGCAGGAACTTTGATAACCTCTGATACAGCAATATTTCGTCGTTTAAAAAACGCTTTCACTGCTCCACCGGTTGTGTTTTCTTTTAAGCCTCCAACTAATAAATAGGCTGCAATAGATAGAGACAAAGTAATGTACGAACAGGCAACAAGGATATAACCCCTTTTAATATAAACAGAAACATATTATTCCGTATAATTTGTAATATAGCTCAATTCTTAAACTTTAACAGTAAACAGAAGATATGACAAATTTCTGCAAATAACATAAATTCCACAAAAGGCTAGTATAATAATTAGATCATCTAATGGCATTCTCCTTACATGATAGCATTGAAAATCCTGTCAATGGTAAAGAGCTACAATTCCTATTGGGTTTATAATATTTGATTTGACTCTAGTTCATGAAATTTTTATATATTAACAATGATTCCATACCTTGTTCTCCCGTTTTCTTCTTTTTGGTTGTTTTTGGTTCCGGTGCTGATCGTTTTCTTTTATTGTTAGTTGTCACGGTTTCTGTAATATATAAAATATTGAATTAGCAATTTTGAAGCCTTAAGCTATCGAAAGCTGTAGATCAGGGAACAATTGATGATAATAATAACTGTTTAACAAGTTGTACACCGAATTAGATTTGAAATAAAAATATCCATTTTCTCATAAATAATCTTGACCCTTTAAAAGCGACTGCAAAAACTCCGCAGGGATAGTTTTTGTTGATCTCAGAGTAGTCCGAAACTTGCTGACCATATTACAGCCTCTGATAGCTATTTGGACAGTTTTCTTTTTCTGACTCTACACCAGACGACAACTGTCAAAATAGCTACCACAGGCTGCAATAGGGTCAGGAAGTCAGGAAGATTCTAAGATAGTACTCTCCAATACTATTGTATTTCCTTTTTTTTTTTTTTTTTTCATATATTCATTATGAACACAATTTTGTCTTATAAACCTTGTATTTACCTTCATCTTCATCATCATCATCATCGCTTTCTTCTTCATCTTCCTCATCCATAGAGTCATCATCATCATCATCATCATCATCATCATCATCATCATCATCAGAAGTATCACTATCATCACTGATGTCTCTTTTTGTTTTCTTCATTTTCTTTTTCACCGGAACTGTTTCTTCTTCCATTTGTTCTATAGAGTCAGAATCTTCTTCATCCTAAAAAAAACAGTTTAAATACTAAAATGTTATTTCTCTTAGCTGGCGGGCATGCTTAAACTCTTAGCTCGCAGACATGCTTATAAGAGTAGGCGGGGATATTTTGTTGGCTAATCATTCTGAGCACTTTCTTTTTTATTTTGATGACTTAACCTTCAGAACGTTTTTTTCTGTAACAGATTTATGACGCTCACATGGTCATCTACGACTACAGTCAAAAGCGTTGCAACTCTATCATTCCTCACTCCCCGGGCCCAAACTATAGGTCTGAGGGTGAGACAGTGAGAGCTCTGATACTATCAGAACTCACGATATTGTTGTGAATCACATGCATTTTAGTATTTGAGTTAAAAAGTATGCTATAACTGCGAGTGTCAGTTTCTGGTCGTTGTGAGTGACTGGTTTGCCAAACTTCTAATCTAAAATCTGGTTAACTCCTGTGCTGTCTTCAGTTTTAGAACTATCTAGGGAATGTTACAGAATGAAACAAAACAAAGACCTTAGAAACTGTTTTCTTCTTCAGAACCCCGTTTTTTTTCTTCATGACTGGTTAATTCTTTTGAGAAAATAGATGATTATTTCGAATTCTTCTCTAAATCAAAATGTAAATAAATAAATCCACACGTGCTTCCGGTAAGTTTATACAAGAGTTATCTTATCTTAGAGTATTCTGGATTAACTCCCTTGACAAAAGTCGGACTACAGTTAATTGTTGAATACTGCCTCAGAGCCTTACACATACGGCTCTGTACTGCCTGGCTCGCCTGTCTTGCTGGCTTGAACTTGCCGTCCTTATCTGTAAGCTATCTGATGGTGATAAATATCAATTAGAGTCTAGATAAAAGTAAGCAAGCTAAAAATAAATCACACTGCATTATGCATCTTTAAAACTAATAAAATTAAATGAATTGGACTTAATCTGACCTCAGTGTGCATTTTGTTGGCTACTTATGAAGATAGGCAACACTCTGCAGTGTGCAATACGAACATTTAGCCAGGAACTTTAAATTGCAGCATCTAAGAGTTATATAGAAGCATAAACTATTTACATATTATGCTCTTAATAAGAACCATGACTTCGCTTTCAATCTTTTTTCCCGCAAGTAGCAAATGCATGTCCACAAAAACAGATCTAATGCTAAAAAAAAAATTTAAAAAAAATGTTTTTGGCGACAGATAAGGAACCATGGCGATAATATTCGCTACCATGGTAAACGAAGAAGCTGTAATACCATCCCTGCTATTGTATATGAACATATTTCTCCCTGTGTTGTAGCCCCAGTATTTAGGGCAAGGTCAAAACCACTTAATTCAAATCATACAAACGACAGATATAGTAAATAGCTACAGATATAGAAGCCTACACAGTTCGTCTAGGTTCCCCCAAATATAAATTATACCAAAAACGTCGTCTTATTCGGTTTCCTATTATACTACTTGAATAAATATTGGGCGGTTATCAAATAAAGTAACACAAGTTTAATATCACAATGGATAGGCTTTTTATATTAGCCGGTCATTATATTTTACTTTAAAGGGGGTATAGTTCACACGGGCGTTAAAACCCTAGAAAAGAGTGGGGAAACAATAGTTTAAATTTTCAAACGTCTTGATCAAATGCAAAACAAATGAAAAATAGAAAGCTATCAAATCAAAGTGTTTTCAATAGCATCAAGATTGAAATCTGAAAGCTGATATAAGCAAACAGAAAATGAAAAAATGATGGATAGGCCACCACGATGTTATTCCTATTTCGAATGAAGTGTGAACATTCCCTTATTGTATTACACGATACTCGTCGACTTTTTTTTAATTCTATTGTCGTATAAAAATGGATATGTGTGCATTTTGGATTTTTCTTGCTCTTGCGGGTAGGATTAAATATATCATATCATATTACAAAAATATCAGAAATTGACAGAATACTACGAGAGTTTTCACTAAACAACTTCTGAATTGTTTTTGTGTAGAATTTTGAAAAGAATGGAGAGGTTACTTGATCAGGAACACCACGCGTTTATCAAACTTAGGCTATCATCTAAAATGTTGAATTCAGGACAAAATTAAGTATTTTTGAAAATTAACATGTTTTTATATAGACTGATTTAAAAAGATTTTTCTTTAAAAAGTTCCTCTCTGACTAGATTGAGCTCTGAATCTAATTTTTTTCTTATTTCATAAATATTTGTTAAAAAAAACTGAAATCCTTGGCTTACTTACTTAGAAATTCGGGCAACCTCAGATATCTCGCCCCCCCTGGGACGTAAACCTGGCTCCGCCACTGTCCATGGATATATTAGGATCAGTGATTTTATATTTAAAATAGACACACTAAGACTCACTAACCTCCCAGAAAAGACCAAAATTTCCCCTCTGTAAAAACAAGTTTACAAATAATAACTTTTCCAGTGGTTGACATTTTTATCACCCCAAAGACAATCCAAAACTCTCAGTAGTATTTTGTAATTGATATTTCAATTCATATGAAAAAAATTGTCAAATTCAGAAAACATTTTAGTCAGAGAGTAATTGCTTTGATCATAAAACATAATTTATCAAAAAACAATTTAATGACAGAAAATACAAGTTAAGGATTTTATAACGATTGTCAAGAAATCCCACAATTTTTGTATTAAACGGACATTCCGCTTTTTTGTAAAAGATTTTCATTATCAAAAACATCGTAAATTATACCTGATAATATTTCTAAAGTATGCTATTTATATCTAAGTATCTACTTGATCAAACTGAATTTGTTTTAAAAGGGATAATTAAAAACAGAGAGTACTAATCGTTAATTAAGCAGTTTAACCTAGTTTTTGTGTTTAGCTTGATAATGGCTCCATATTATAATTATTATTACCTTTAGAATACCTAGGAGACATATTTTCTCTACAATTGGGCGCTTATTTTACAAAAATCCGTTTTCACACGGCTTCCAAACAGCATAACGAACTAAAAATCCTCTATATGTAATTTTTCAAAATAATTTTGGCTCTTAAAACTTAACGGCTGGTTTAAGTTAAAACTTTCAGATACGCTAAAGGCATATTTCTGTAGATTTAGGTAGATATTTCAACAAATTTCAACCAACAAAAAAGCGGAATGTTGCCTTAAACAGACTATTTTAACGGTTGAATAGTTATGAAGGAGAACAGGAAATGCATAACAATTTCGTCAGGTTATGAATAGTTATTGAAGTCCTGTACAAAAAAAAAACCGAAAAAAGAAACATCTGCATTTTGATTTTTGTCGTTTTGTAGCTGGGAATCAATATCATTTCTCCTCGTTGCACACTGCATGGTGCTGTCTGTCTTAATAAGGCGAATCATTAGTTTTTGTGTCGAAAATAAAACTGTTATACCATTGAATGGAAAACGAGGTGAAATGATACGTAAATGTAAGTCCTATTACGTTCAGAACTCTATTCATTTTGTTTACAGGAATAAGCCTCTGTGAGATAACCGAATATAAACGAGTGTGTTATTTTACCAGTTGGTCGATCTATGATCATTACAGGAAGGGGAATGGGCAATATACCGGAAGTAACATCACTGAACCCTCACTCTGTACACATTATATCTATTCTTTTGTTGGTTTTGATGTCGACAATAAGACAATTATACCACTGGATGAAAAACGAGATGAAAAAGGTACGTAAACGTATAATAATTGTGAATAAAACGATTTTCGGGTTCAAGACTATCTCACTGGAAGCTTAAAATCGACGTCGAAGCTTATAAGAGGAAGATTCGGCAGTTGCTGTATTAGAACTGAGTTACCTAAACGATTCGGTCTACTTCAAAGTTTAAAACAGATTCATCTTTATGGAAATTGCACTGTAATAAAGAATTACACTATTACACATCACTCCGAATAAGTTCCAGGTTTCCGTTTCACACAAAAAATGTTGCGATCAATTTTGTCGTAAATGGGGTATGTCTCAATTTATCGTAAGACTTTTCGTAAAGAGTCTCTGTTTTTGTGTGTGGTTATTTCAGAAGGTTATAAAGAATTATTGGACCTAAAGAAAGAATCACCAGATATAAAGGTTATACTCGGAGTAGGTGGGTACGGATTTGGTGTGGAACGATTCATCAATTTAACTCAAAATGACGATGATATCGAAGAGTTCTGTAACAATACTGTGGATTACTTGAGGGAATGGGGATTCGATGGCGTGGATATGGACTGGTCGTTCCCAACACAACGTGGTGGATCTCCGGCAGATAGAGATAGATATGTGGCTTTGCTGCAGGTAATTGATTGATTTACATCAGATGAGAAAAGGGAGTATACGTCTGCTTCGATCTGAGCAGATTTGGAAAATGACCATCTATTTTTGCAAGAGAAAAGATACAGATGTACAAGTCCAACCAAGCTTGCGATCGATTCCTTTCGCCATTGATAATTTTTCATGTTTGCCTTTCTGTTAGAAATTACGATCCAGTTTTGAAAAAGAATCGAAGTTATCTGGTAAACCAAGACTATCGTTATCATCGGCTGTATCTATCAGTAAAACGATAGTTGATCAAGGATACAACAGAACGGCGGTCGGAGAGTAAGCTCAACACACTATTATTTTTACCACTATATTAAGTACTGTATTGAATAAGGCAGAGAGCATGCTCATCACTCCGGATCACCTGATACCATTGTGTTACTGAGTTTATCAACTTTGCATCTTTTTGGGATAGCCAGTACTATTTATTTGGAATATATTATAGCCTTTGGCTCATACCATCAGCGAAAACATTACACCTCGCATCTGGGTTTTATTAAGCTCAACGTTTCTACAATTTACATTTCTACTATCAAGAACATTCTCTATCTTGCACTTGGTCCACTTTTGATAGTTTGTCTAGTTAATGGTAGTTTTGAAATGTATATAACACCTTGCATTTCTCTTTGTGATACATAGCGTAATTTCTTACAAAGTTATATTTTGTATTTTGTATTTTCCAGAGCTGTAGATTTCCTGAATATGGTGTCCTACGACTTGACAGGAGGGTCAGGTGTACTCGCTCACCACGCCCCTCTCTACCCCCGGGCTGATAGTCTGGTCGAGGAACAGACACTGAATGTGGTACGTATACACCAAAGGGAAATCTTGACTGCCATCATACTTTTTCTATCCGATACACATGTCAAGTACTCTGTTTTCGAAGGAACAAGTCATTTACTTAACTCACAACAGCTGATAATAAGTTGTCAATTCACTATCGAATTTAAAATGAGACTGACGCTAACCGCTTGTTCATACTGAAACAGATATAACTCAGAAATATTAAACACAACTGAAAAGTGATATAGATTCACAAACAACGGTTAAACCGAACAATAATTTATGTTACTAGATGCTAATTAATGATTCTATAATATTAAATACTATTATAACGATACAAAACATTAATGGTGTAATTTCAATGTAATATTTTAAATCATATCAGGAAATATTAGGTCGGGAGGCGATTGCGATTGTGTATGGACTAGTGAAATTCCGATAATTCCTCGCATGATCATACATGATCATACAAGTCAAGAATTGAAAATGCTGTTCATATTATAAAAGCATTCAGATGATCAACCCCCAAACTTCCTTAATGAGAGTGGCTCAGTAGTGAATCTAAAACATGATGCCACCATCGAATCAAAATTCCAAAAATGTTTGTTATTTCCAGTAATTGGTACCGACCCATTAACACATTAAATTTCAACTTTGAGGTCCTCGTTATTTTTAAACCATACGATTTAATCGTCTCTTTCAGGAGTGGGGTTTGAGTTATTGGGCTGAAGAAGTTCCCAAGGAGAAGTTGATATTGGGGTTACCACTTTATGCCCGGACTTTCTCACTGTACAATACTACGCTAAATAATGTTGGTGATGTACAGACCGGAAGTGGCAGTCCCGGACCGTACACACAGGCACCAGGCGTTCTGAGCTATTATGAGGTAATTCTAGCAGTGAAAGATAAATATCTATATGACCCTTCGACAGAGAGAATTTTTGTTATTACGAAATATTTCCTAATATATGTTTGATATACATTGTTATATGAAGAGTTTAATAGCTGTTGCCAATGTTTGGCCAAACTGTTGTTTTGGATGTCTGGTTTCGTTTTGCGGTTCGGAGAGCTGTACGATCATATTTCATACCAAAAACTTCAACATATTTTAGCTTGTTTCCCTTTAGCTGGTACACACAAAGTGAGCTGGGGTCACAAAAATTGAGTTATATATACCTGCTTGTATATGATGTATTGTAGGTTTGTAAACTGATTAAGGTTGGTATAGTAACGGAAAAATGGGACGAAGAATCGAACGCTCCTTATGCTGTTTCTGATACAGAGTTTGTTACTTATGATAATCAAAGAAGTGTTAAGATAAAGGTAAGGATCATCTTCACAATGTCAAAGTATTACGTGGAGGTGGTCGTGGGTTCTAATCTCGGTCGGTGTGTGAATGTCATCTCTCCTCATTATTCCAGTCGCCTCAACTGTGGCCTAAATGGGTATTGATCAAGTCATCCTCCCCCAATGATGAATATGGATAATCCGAGAAAGGACCAGCTGATAGACCGGGTCCTAAATTTATATCTAATCGTCTCTTTTACAGGCAAATTTTGTAAAAGACAACCAATATGGTGGAATTAACGTCTGGGAATTATCTTACGACGATTTTGGCGGGAATCATTGCGAGGCGGGAAACTACCCTTTGTTGGGAACCTTAAAGCAGACGTTAACACAATCTAGAGGTAACAGCTTAATTTGTTTTGTTTCTGAAAAAACTTCTAGAAACCCGATTCTTTAAAATCATTGGATCCTTATACTAGTCCGAAACATCTGCTTCTATTCCAACCTCTGATAGATGTTTTGAAAGTTGTCAGCTGGTATAGAGAAATCTCCAAAAAACAGAACCCAGTTTTTCTGACTCCAGCCGACAACTGCATAAATAGCTATCAGAGGCTGGAATAGAGGCAGACGTTTCGTTCTATCTTCATACTAGCAGCAAAAATAGCTCAGATAAATCACAAAAAAACTAGTAGTTTATAGTAACAAAACTTACAGGAAAACCGCAACGTATGATATATCTTACATATTTTACACACATACCCTAACGTCATATTGTTCTTAAGGGTTTCCATTGATTCCGGTGATAGGTAAATCTAAAATCATATAATCCTAGACATTAGAAGGAAGATAAACCTTTAAGTGAAGCTAACAAAGCGGTTGTTATGATTAAAACTATTTTCAGATGATTGCCCAGAAGGTAGCTATGGTAAACTGAACTCTAAAGGCTGTACGCAATGTAAGAGAAATTTCTATCAACCAAAACCAAACCAACTAGGCTGCTTATCCTGTCAACTAGGGCAAATTACTCTCTCAGGTGGAGCTCGAGGACGTCACGAGTGTATCTGTAAGTTGTTGAAATTCAAATTTTAAAGTTTTACGTGAGACTTTTAGCAAACGCTTGAAACTAATGAACATGTCCATATCGAATCATGGGAGCATAATTTGCAGTTATCATGAATTATTTTCAATTGTCTTCTCATCATCTTATGTTGTCAGTGGTCTGTTCCAAACTCCAGACTATTGATGAAAGTTTTATAGCCGAAGCATTTCTGACATGAGACGAACTCTTGGCGTTTTGATTTACACATGTTAAACACTATTTCAGTGGATTGTTCAAGTGGTTCTGAGTTTGATTACATCACACGACAATGTACACCATGTACCATTAGTTACTACCGCCAAAAACCAGACAGCGTGACATGTGTCAAATGTCCTTCCGGTTTTACTACTATGTCGACCGGAAGTACAGAGTGTGTTGAGATGCCTGGTAAGCTTTTAGCTCTCCCTTCTCGAATACCTGATGCCACTTTGCCACTAGGTTTATCAATTTCCACATATCGGAAAGGAAAATAGGGATTTGGCCACGGTGACGACTATCATTGTCCAAGGAATGACCATGCTATTATTAAGGCCCAAATGGCGCAGACGTCAGATAAATGTCTAGTTGTTATTGGGTAGTATTAAACCGCTTTTGCGAGACAATTGCCAATTTTGTAATCGTAATGTAACGATATTTAGTTCTTCAATCATTCAGCTCCTGTTCGTTACAGGAGGATACACATCCATGCCGATTCACAACGTGACCTTGACCTTTGACATCAAGATGGCGACAGCCTCGTGTGGAAATGTGGAACTACTTCAGGAAGCTGTGTTGAATTCAATGAAAGCTACTTTAACCACAGCTTCAGAAAAATGGACGGGAATTTGTGTTGAAAACTGCACTAATGTAGGATTAAACGAGGTTTCTAAATGTACAGATAAGAGCAAACAGGGCGCGATGGAGGCTCAACTTTTGAATTTCGTAGTTTCAATTGACACAGTCCCGTAAGTTGTCTTTAATAGGTTTAAATTCTGATATTCTGTCTATTATTTAATTTTTTCCTTACAATAAAATGAAATATTTTCACTATTAAATTAGTTTGAAGATCGCATAGCGAGAAACTCTTAACAACATGTTTTTTAGTTTCTGTTTTAATATTTCTAATTTTTTCAGTTCTGATATATTTGGGTTATTCCCCTTGATTTGGCCTAAATATATTGAAATTTGCCTATGTGTTAAATATATCAGCCTGTATTAAAGCGGCTTATAGTAGATAACGACTGTTGAGACAGGATTAAATATGTTCTGTATCCTGGACCTTCTTGATTGTTCTTTGCCCTGTAGATATGGTACCATTCATTTCATTTCATTTCATTTCTGTATTATGTAGTGCAGAGGAACACAATCCGAGAATGAGCAGTATTTTGGTAAAAGTATTTTTGTCTATATTGTAGAGAAGAAGTATTTAATGGAGAAGTGACCAGAAGCACGTCGAGTGTTATCAATGAGATACTTCACCAACGAGAACAATTTTCAGATGTAGTAAGTTTTTAAACATCGGCAATATCTAATCTAGTCCGAAATATCTGCCTATATTCCAGTCTCTGATGGATAATTTGTCAAATTAGCTATCAGAGGATGGAATAGAGACAGATGTTTCGGTTTATATCTGATGAGAAATCAAGGTGACGACAATACAAATTTCCACAGTACAGAAACTTACTTCGGGCCTACGGTCTTGGTTTGGTCAGGCCGGGAACCCGCCCCGAGAGGGGTGGTTGGGGCTGTTCCTTCACGGGGGCAGTCTCGTCTACTGCGGGTTAACCGTGCCAATCGTCTTCGTGCTGGGGATCGGGGCTTGCAACTCAGCCCCGTGAACGAGGAATTCCGAGTAGGCGTCCGTCATCAGCTGGCGCCGATTAAGTCCATGCCTTTTGTACACACCGCCCGTCGCTACCTCCGATAGAATGGCTAAGCGAGGCCGTTGGACTGGGCCTGCTTTCGAGTGGGCCCGGAAAGGCGTTCGAGCTTAATCATTTAGAGGAAGTAAAAGTCGTAACAAGGTTTCCGTAGGTGAACCTGCGGAAGGATCATTACCGTTTTCTTTTCACGCTGAATCTTGTATTCTCTGGACGAATCGAATCTCTGGACGAATCGTCGAGTGCGTGTGGCAGATGTTAGGAGACCCGTCCGGGGTCCTTCGCTTGCTCTCTGTCGCTCGGTCCGCGAGCGGCGAAGCTCTGACGCAGAGTGTGCAAGGTTTTACCAGTCTGTGGCAAGGTCTGCTTCTTTCGGGTAGCAGCACCTCGGAATGTCCGCCTTCCATGCCGGTAAGTAGGAGAGAGATCGAAACTACCGGACTCTTGGAGACCCTTTTCGTCGGGGGAGGCAGATCTGTCGACTCGCTGTCAGGGTGCGTTCAAAGAGCTCTTGGTGGAAACGCCAAGCCGCCAGCCACATCTCCCGACGGTCGTCAAACATTATTTTTCCACACTATTAAGGACACAAATTTGTTGTTGCGAGCCGTCATTTTTCACTGCACATAGTCAAATAGTTGTTTCTGTATTGATCTTGATCTTGTCTGTATTCAGTGAATACACATCGGGATAAAAGATGCTTCAAATATCCATAACCTAACATATAGATGGTTTTAATTCAACCCATGTAATTTTGTTCTAGGATACGTATAAACTAAGATATGAGGGTGTTGAGTCAATGTCATCAAGAGTAGTCTGCCCTTTGC